AGTAAAAAGGCAGATTTTTGATCGATAATCCCAGGTTTTGTAGCTGAAGATGCTTTCAAGGAGCTTTCATAGTTCATATTCAACAAAATCACATGGTTTTAGCTATTATGATTGTTTTTTCATATGATTAAAATAATGAATGAAGATACAGAGCTAAAAACGTAGATATAAAGCCAAACGGGGATTTCCAAAAAGAGCTGACGTTTTGTTAACTAAAATGCTTTGAGCACTTAATATATTGATATTCGTAATCAGCACACCTGATTCTATCAATAAATAGGTGTTTAAATGAAATCAAAAAAAGAAAAGTTTTTCAGAGATCCCTGTGGGGAACGACAGGTCCAAAAACCTTTTGGTGAGCTATACAATAAGAAACTTATGGAATATTACCAAGAGTGATGCCTTACTTCAACTCGATAAAAAGAAACTAATTTTATTGAGGGCAAAAAAATAGCCTTATCCGTCCTCGTCCTTTAAGGAAGAGAGCAAATCGTTTAATAGAGATTTTTGTATAGGAAATGAATTTGGTCATCCAGAATGGCTTGATTTTCCTCGAGCAGGAAATAATGAAAGTTATAAATATGCTCGTCGGCTTTTTTATTTATGTAAAGATGATACATTGAGATATAAATATCTTAATGCATGGGATAAAGCAATGAATGATTTGGAAGAAGAATATAAATGGTTAACAGCAACAAATACAGTAAACGTTTTGATTAACAATTAGAATTTAAATAAGTTTTGTTTTGTAGTTCGTTAGTCGGAAAAATGAAGGTGATAAAGTTATAGTATTGGAACGCGGTGATCATGGTCTGGTGTTTATATTTAATTTTCATGCCAGTAACAGTTACACTAATTATCGTGTTGGATGTGGTCATAGTGGAAAGTAAGAATGAGTAATTATTGTTTTTCCTCTGGTTAGAAAGTTTTTTTCTTTAGATATAAAGTTGTACTTGATTCGGATGCGAAATCTTTTGATGGTCATGGAAGAATTAATGATGAACAAATCTTTGTTGCCGAGAATATCATGTGGGATGATCGACCATTTTCATTTCAGGTATAATTAAATGAAGATTTTTATTAATAGAATTTATTTATCTTTCCTTAGGTTTATACTCCATGTCGGACTGTGCTCGTTCTTGCTTTAGCTGAAGAGAAAAGTTGATGGAATTTTATTCTTTTTTTTCTAATCTCGCAAGATAACTTATTATTATCTGTTTGCAGTTTTTAGTTTTATACAATAATATACCTTAGTGAAATATCTTATGAACAAGATTTTGTCAAGATCTTTAAAAGATGATTCGTTTTATATGTCTTAATCGCATCAAATACATCTGCATCTAGGATCTTTCTAAGATGTGCTCGAAGATTCCAGATACCAAGATCATAGAAAAACTACTGCCCATTCCAAAAAAGAAGGCGGATGGGTATCTTTTTCAATAACTTTTGATAGATAAGGTGTGGGTGTGGATGTGAAACAAGTTCTTAATCACTACGCCCACGCACTCACACCCGCATCCACACACACGCGCACCCACATCCACACCCACCCTTAAGACAATTCGATCGAATAGCAAGTAGGCGATGACCAAAACTCAGTAAGTGGAATGTTCCATGATTTTTGAATGAATTTTCACGCCTACTACGTCCATATTTTAGTCCCTATATATACTATTCATTTTTCATCTATTAAGATTTATTGTTCAAACCAAATATTGATTTATGATATCTTCTTAACTTGAGTGAATTCAAGTTCTATCAACATTGTAACTAGAAAGTCAATGTAAAAACCACCAAAATGCTTTTGAGATATTTTACTCATAAACTTCGTTTGACAAAAGACTAATTATATACATGTCGTATCGAAGTTACAACTTCGATAATGTGAGGCTATCCAACTTGTGTAGTGAAATAAAATACCGAAATCGTTGATTATTTAAACAGTATTACTAAACTTGATAGCAATCGTTTATCTTTCTACTAGCAACATACATTTATTTGATAGAAAAATTCAACAGTCACAAACTATCAATAAATATTGAGACATAACATTTATTTTATCTCTTCTTTTTCCAGCTTCCGTTCAGAAAACAAGAGATAAATCATAGAAAAGATGTTCATAAACATTGATGCGCCATAATTAGGAATCGAAGTATAGACTGATAGTCACTGTAATGAACATAACTGCTTTAAGTTAAATGTTAATCATATACAGATCAGATATGTTAAACTTATCTCTTCCATTTGTATTTTATCGATAATGTTGTAAGTTTCGTGAGAGAACATGTAATGGGAACCGATGTTTTAGTTGTTACTGAAGAGGATATCTGGATGTTTTTCTGAAAACATTTACGTTTTCTTGTTACTGCAGGAAATAATGTAAATGAAGCAATCAATTTGTACATGGTTTTAGCGTTAGTTGTGAATTCAGAAAAATCATACATTGAAATTCTGAGCAAGTATGGGATATGATTGGTGCGTTCACATTTATTTGTGTTGTTATTAAAATTGATCCATTTATTATAATCCAATTATCGAATTATTTCGATTGCAAAGGTTATTAGCCATATAAATAACTTATACATCTGTTCTATACGTGATTAATATTGAATTTATAGTAGTAATGTTCATTATAATGACTATAAGTCTATACTTCGATTCCTAATTATGGCAGATCAGTGTTTATGATTATCTTTTTTTATAATTTATCTCCTGTTTTCTGAACGGAAGCTGAAAAAAGAAGAGATAAAAATGTTATGCCTAAATATTTGTTGTTAGTAGAAAAATAAACTATTGCTATCAAGTTTAGTAATGCTGTTTAAATAACCAACGATTTCGGTATTTTATTTCATCTAAACAACTTAAATAGCCTCACTTTATCGAAGTTGTAACTTCGATACGATATATATAGATAGAATCTATCAACAATCATTAATGAATCTTTTAATTACTTAGTTAAATGTTTTCACAGAATAAATTTGATAAAGATTCCATATTTAAAAGCTAATTAAAATCGAAGTAGTTATGAAGACATTGAATGATAATTTATCAATGGAATTTCTTTGTTTCAGATGTGTATAACTTGATTGATGGGACTAAATTTTCCACAAAAGGCATCTGAATTCATATCCTAGGCAGTGTGCTTTAGTAAACAAAAAATGTTAGTAAAACTATTGGAGATTGTTTAAACTTTTTCATGAACATTTTATTGAAATTGAATATTCGTAAGGAATGCGCAATGATAACATAAATCTACGTCGAATCGTTAAACTCAAGAATAAATTTAAAATAAAGCCATAAAATAAAAATATTCGAATGAATATTTTTGAATACAACAAATTATGAACTATAAAAATAACCATTGAGTTATTTAAGAAAAGAAAGAGATAACTGCTGTAAATAACATTTTATTAAATATTTATTTCAAACAGAAATAAAAAGAGAAGAGATTCAAGCTTTCGTGCCCTGTCTGGTGCCCATCATCAGGAACGAAGTGAAAGATTAACTGTTTTTTTTTTTGTTAGATCTAGAAAGAGTAATTGCTCGAGTTAGTATGGAGAGTGTCGACCATGGTCTTAGGTGGAGCATCTCTCACAGCACTAGCAAAAACAATTCTTCTTTTTTGATCAGATAGAAAAACGCGAAAACAAGAGCAAACAATAGAAACAATTGAAATGTCATTATGTGACTATCTGATGAACATAAGTTTAAGAAAAGCACACTTTGAACCATAAGTCCAGTTTAACATAAATTAGACGGTATAAATTCTGATTAAGTGGAGTAACTCAACTGTGTTTTGTTGTCAAATAAAGCGTGAGAACATCTGAAACAATCAGATCATGAATTCTAATATTAGATAAAGATATTATTCATTCATGTATCATCAAATTGATGTTATATTTAAGTTTAGTCATTTGAGTTAAGTAAAAGTAAATTCCATATTAGAGAAAATTTGATATGAGTAGAAACATGATAAGCTTAATTTTATTATTGTGTAGAAACTCCATTATTTATTTATGATGGATTAATGATGAGTCAAGTTCTTCGAAACATTTAATTATAGTATAAGATAGAGGTATTACATAGAGCTAATGTTATCTTTAAGCTTAGTCATATGAGTTGAATAAAAGTAAATTTCACCTTAGAGAGAGTTCATTATGAGTAGAGATATGATAATTTTAATTTTAATATTATAAAGAGACAGAAATTATTTATATGATAGATTGATGATAATTCAAATTGATCGAGACATTTAAATTAAATCTAAGATAGAGGCATTCTATAAAATTAATGCTATATTTAAGCTGAATCATATAAGTCGAATAATTGTGCAATCTTGTATTAGAGACAGTTTAATATAAATAGAAAGTATAATGATTTTTAAGTCGAATCTTGGATGAAGCAGAAAGTGGGTGTGGGTGGGTGTGGCTGTGGCTGTGGCTGTAGGTATGGGTGTGAGTGTGGCCGTGGTGTGTGTTGTGGAAAAGAGGTTCACACGTATACCCATACCTCACACACGCCCAAATCCGCATCCACACTCACACTCTGTTCTATAATTCTGAAGGTATGCTTTGAAAAACGGGTGTTAGTTGTTATACTGAATCAAGACACATTAGAACCGAACCCAAGAGATAAGTTGATACAACAGCTTTCTAAAAATGACGGCATTCACATTAACGTTCTAGCTCATTTCAGCTTTATGCATTACTTTTTTTTTAAACAAAGCTATAATATATGATATCAAACGAGTAGCACATAAATGTAGTCTGTTATTTTCCTTTCCTTGACCTCTCTCATATATGGAATAACATCAATTTGGCAGAACAAAAAATATGACCACAAAAAAGTCCAAGAAAAAAGAATAATTTATTCCTTCAGAGTATTTGTTTGGAGTTTAGTGAGGATGAAGAGAAAGCACATATTCATATCAATACTCACAGCCCACAAAAATGCCCAACTCCATGAGTTCTATCACTGCACATAAGAGTAAGAAGTTTCTTTTAGAAAGTCTTATGGGCCAATCTCCCACCAAATAGGCCCCAGTCCTTTAAATAATTCATTAATACAATACGAGTGACTGCGAAGAGCGTTGTAGGTTTCATCAATATTGATGGATTGCTTTGCTGGGTCATAACACGTATAAAGTCTGTAGATAATGCTCCAGATTTCGATGCACATTGAAGAAACCAATAACTATACCATTGCATAAATCGCAATATTAAAGTTGTTTGTGGCTGAAGATGATTTGTCGTAGTGGAATCACTACCTCGTTGATAAACTTTAACATCACCATTTTTATTTGTTTCAATGACTTTTAATGTCGGTGTTTTCCAATCACTTGTAGTCGAAGCAAGCCAACATTCTTCAGTAATTACTGAAGCACGACGATTAAAAATACGAGAAATGTCTTTCAATTTATGACAACTCTCGCCAAATATTTTCTCCAATTCTCGCGCATGTCTAAATGCATGTGTCATACCTTGTGCATGTTGAGGATTAAATGTACACATCGCATCACCTAATAATATATAATTTTGAGGCCGTTTTTTACCTAATAATTCGACATACTTTCGATCATCGATCGCACGACGATATGGAATTAATGGGCTATATACTTTAGTTTTTTCTAGTATCGTATAATATTCTGGGTCTAGATTTTCTTTTGTCCATTCTAATAAATTTTCGTATGAATCATTTGGAGGATATTCGGAGTTAACGCAATTTATACCAAATGTTGCTAGTATTCCTAATGAATTGTCATCGATTGTTTTTATTTCACGTATTGGAGTTGTAATAAATCCAATATTTTTATTAGGAGCGTCAACTCCAGCACCAATGAGCGCTGCTGAATCAAGCGACGGATCATCAGTTTTAAATCTTTCACCAATAAATGTAACATAGCCACAACCAAAATGTACTTGTACAGTTGGTACAATTAAATTGAAACTTTCCTTTAACCATTTAGGTGATGATGTATTTCGACCAGTACAATCAATAATAAAATCACCATACATATCAAATGATAATGAATCATTATTTTTCTTCGATCGATATTTTATACCTTTAACAATATTTAATGATTGATCAACGATTAGACCTATTACTCTTGTATTACATCTCCATTCAATTTGTTTATCAAATTTCAAACACAATTCTCTTCTCAAAACTATTTCTAATGTAAAACGATCAATACCTAACCAATCAAAATCTTCGGTTAAATCTTGATTTAACAATACACCGCTAAGCATGAGTCTTAATTGGGTTTTCATTGAATAAGTACGAACACCATATTCATTGAATAATGTATCTTTTAATTGAGGAAATAATTCGAGTAATATTTTATATCCTTCACTGTGAAGTCCATGTATTTGATATATTTGACTAACACCTGAACGTCCTAGTGATGTTGGACTTTCAAGACGGCAACGATAATCTAATATTTCACTAGATGTAGATTTCATGAATATATCATTTAGTACATCATCCGATTCGATAATTGTTATTCGTTTAAAATATTTAGATAAGTAAGCCGCAGTTACAATTCCTCCAATACTGCCTCCAAGAACTATGGCATGATCGTACTGTGGAATATTTGAAGAAAACTTCACTGGTTTGTTGTATTTCTTGTAGATTATATACGAAATAATTCCAAGAATGATGTATATCACAATAAATAACATTTTGGAATTATTCCTATGAGATATTAATGTATTTAAATATTTTCTTGTATGAAAAATGTACTTCAGACTATACGGATGATAGAGCAACGATCAATTTTATTTTTCATAACAGTTTAAGAACTCATTCACTTGCCAAAACTATGCATGATTGCAATTTCTGAAATCGATTATGTTTTCTAATATATATGCAATATTTTCTTGAAACATTTCTTACAGAAAGTTGATTTGAAAAAATTTTCAAAATATTATTATGAAAAGATTACACTCGTAGTTACCTATCAAATAAATTCTCTTTTTTTTATCTGTACGATGCTCAAAAATATTATTATAGAAGCAGACAAATAGGTAAGTTACTATCAGTTTGTGATGTTCACCAAGAACTCATTAATGTACTGTCTGATCTTCTAATTTCTCGAATGTGAAGTATCTTCATCAGGTCATTCTTTGTTACGATAAGTTTTTCAAATGCTACACGCAAGAATATCTTTGCATAGTGAGATATTCTATAGAAACATCGTCAACTCTTTGTTTACTAATATTTCAGTGTGTACGACCTAAACTTTGTTTTTTTTTAACAGTTCAAAAGAAAAATGAACATTTCATTATTGCTTTACAACTCGTCTAGTTTTTATTTGCTGAAAAACGAAGTGTTTTTCTTTTATAATTTATCGAAAAAAAAATGTGGTCATACATAAATAGAATGACTGAAAGATTGTCAGAATTTAGAATAATCTACTTTCGATAAATACGTTGGCGTTACATCGAAATACTATTTAGTTTTCTCATTGTTATTCATCTTAAAACTATAATGATCGTGGTATCTACTATATTTATCACAATCACAAGGCAAATATAATGATAAAGGCAAAAGAGAGTGAGAAGAAAAGGAAAGAAAATTTAATGCAACAAGGTAAACAACTAAGTCTACTCAATTCTTCTACCAATTGTGAGATACTCGGTGGTATGTAATCAAGTTTTCAACCTCTGTATATTACAAAAGTTAAATGATTTAATAGCTGATCGTGTCTAGTCTCACAAAAAACGAGAGTTCACGATAAGAAAACTGCCTATCTGGATTTTGTTGTATGATGTCGAAATAATGTTTACCAATTGTAGAAGAGAAATGTATTTTGGTGCTTGTTCACTTTAAACATATTCCATACACTGATCCGCGTATTTAACGCTCACACATCAAAGAGTGCGGGTGAGAGCATATGTCGAAAGTGAACAAGTACCTGTATTTTATTAGATAAATACGTAAAACATATAACAAAATGATGATAATGACAATAGGAAAGTAATAGTAATAACGACGGAAAAAAGATAATGAAGAAGAACAAGGGATGAAACAAGAGTAGAATACGACTGGAGAGATACAACGATCAAAGAAGATCAGCAAAGAGAAAGACAAAGACCAATAACAATAATATACATACAATAAGCGTCATAGCGCGCCATCTGTTGACGCTAACATTCATAGAACGAAAAATTTTCTTCAAAGATATGAAAACGGGTACTACGTACAGAATAATTCTAATGGCAAGTATACACTGTGCAAGGAAAATGTATGATGTACATTTGGCAGGAAAAATTTTAAAACCATATTTACGTAGGTGAAGTTAGCACCCGATTCGAGTAATTCTTGCATCAATTCGCTCCGCTAGCATTTCATTTGAGTTGATCAACATTCCAAGTATATTTCAACATTCTCTATCGATTGATGAAAACCCTTCTCGGTATCTCGAACTATGATTAAGAAAAAAGAAAAATACGACTTTGCTATCTATTTTCCTTTTCAGATTTATGTCAATCGGTCCTCGATACTGATGTAATGACTGCAGAATACAATTGAAAATTACAACAAATTCAATTTAGTTTCGTTTGAATCATGTTGATGTGCATAATGATGAAGATGAAAATGATAGTTTTGATTGATTTGGGATTATTTTGAAGTTTGAAAAATAATAAATTATAGCTTCTCATTTTCATATGATATTCTGATGTTGTACTTTTTTGTTAGTCAATCTTCCTAAATGAATCGAATACGAATTGTTTCTTTCTTATTCTCTATTTGTTTATTTAATATTACATGAAAACATGACTTTGTACACTATGATATATTTTGCTTATGAAAAGCAAGTGTACATATACACTTTGTCCACATAAAACAGAGTATACTGTACAATCTATTTTAGATTTCCATTATAAATACTGCTTCTACCCGATATGCACACTTCCACCCTGACGATATGCTTTGTGTAATTGAATTACATATGCGTAAACGTAAGGGTGTATGTATAGTATAGAATAACCTGAAAATGATCGTAATAAAATTAAATGACTACACTTACATAAATGTTGTTTGATCGCTTCTATTTCGGTTTGACATATTACTGAAATTAAATTGTCATTTTATAATTTGAATGTCTCAATTTACTAAACAAAAACTGCGATGACAAGCATTCACAATACGATAATATAACTCGTTAAGGCTAATATGAATCAAACACAAAATTTTGTGTTCAAAACAACTCTGAAAGTTTAGATTTTTTTGAGATCAATAGACTGAAATTGATTTTAAAAAATTCATAGCAAATAATAGAAACTCATCTTTGAGCCTGAAAAAAACCACTTTGATCCGATTTCTAGACAAACTATGTGGCATAAGTATCTAAACGATCAGGGTGGGATGTGGATATGTATCTTCTGTTCGCTTAGGTCAATATGTATACCTACATTCATCCTATTACTTTATCTTAAATCTCTAATTATCAAGTCATATTGGAAAATATTATTTCATTAGAAAAGTTCTCCGAATAAGCATTATCAAACAATCAATATATTGTAGTATAGAACATTTGACTTCTTTGCTTTATTGATCAATTCAATAGTATGCATTTCAATTGAATAAATTCTATCATATAATTTTCATTTCGAACAAGTTGCATATTAGTACCATGTGCAATTAAATAATGAGTTATATCAAAATCATTTTCATTTCTTCTTTATTTTCTTTATTGATATATTAACAAAATATGACAATTGAATAAAGAAGAAATTTTATTCACAACAGAGGAAAATAAAAGTGAACGTTCTCTGGATATATCATTAGTTTTGAATCAAAGATAATATGTTGCAATTCTGAACAGTTAGCATAAACAGAATTATTTTTGAAATTCTCTGTTATGATCATCAAGTCTTCATATTTACTATGTAGCGTCTTAAGGCAAGGTAGACGTCTGTTGAAGTCAAAAAGAAATTGTTTCGCATAGTCGATATAAGACAGTGAGATCGAGTGCCATAAAATGTGAAAACTCAATAATCGAAAATGTTTGTTCATGTTCATCTTGTTGATGTGTTAACTTCTTCCTTTGTCTACTTACATTAAATATCATTAATTTATGTAGTAATGAAAAAATTCGAGAGATTCGAGCAAAGAAATCATGTTTAAATGGATGAACGTTATCCTGCACATATAGGTGACGAACAGTCATGAATAAATCATCAGAAAATTTACTAAAATACGTATGCATGCGATCCATAGTAAAAGGAAGCGAGTAAATATAGCTTTGGCTCTTGATAAGTTCAGCATGGTCAGTATAACAGTTAACATTATATCCACTTTGAATGGGCGCATGTTCAATATCATCTGGTGCTGATGAAAGTTCTTTGTTCATTGTGATACTTTCAGTGATGATATTGAATATAAACGTATATAGATAGGACATTTTACTAAGGATATCATTAACGAGATGAGTCCCATCAATGAATGGAGTTCGACCATGAGCAATAAGGGATAATGTAAGTTTTTCTAATTGTGACATTTGACGAAGGAATGGTAAAATTTGATTATCATATTCAATTGTTTGACGATATGAAATCAGCAAGAAACATTTTAAATTTGATAGAGTTTTCTAAAAAAATTAACATAAATATTAAATGATGTCAAATTAATCATTCGATCAAGAGTAGTTAGTTCTAACCACGTATTTAAATATCTATAATCTTAGTCATTCTCTCTATGGTCTATGAATTCTCAGAGTAATATTCGATCGAATATATTGATGCCTGATGACTATGTATAACAGAATCTTCTCACTTAATCATTGTTCTTTCATTCTTTCTCATAAAACTGGTAACACTTAATGTAGAATATGATATCCAAATTTAATTTTCATAGCATTGAAATTTCAATATTAATTATTAAAGAAATATTTTCTTATCATTCGATATTTCACTTCTTGATTTAATAAGTTTTTGTAGTATCTATAAAAGTGTCAAATCTTTAAACTAATTTACAATGACATAATTTTTTTCATCGAACGCCTTTTTTGAAAATTCGATGAATAAAACGAAAAACTCAAAGTAATGTAGTTTCATGCTAACAATGATGAAACTATCTAATCGATATCTGAACAAATTCTTCTATTAGGCAAGTCTGTTGTTCTAATATGTTTGTTTTTTGTTTTCTCTAATAAAGTCAAAGTCATTCGAAATACAGTAATATCACTATATAAGTTCGTGGTTTTTTTTAAATCTATTCATATTTTTAATAATCGCTTTCTTGTCATACAAGTAGTTTATCATTCTATCAAAAGGCGACATGAAACTCTTTTACTGTCACTTAAAACAATGTTACCGTATCATTGATAATCATTGACACTAAGGGTGTGGGTGTGGGTTTGGGTGGGTGTGTGGATAAGGAAAAGAGAAAAATCCACACCCACACCCACGCCCACACCCACATCCACACACCCACACCCACACCCACCCACATCCAC